TTCCCAGTTTTGCCCCATAAAATCCTCTTTTAGCCTCCTTACAGCATGTTCATTCGTCACCCTCCTATAGAAAAGATTTGTTTTTGGCCTCTCTTTTCTATACTGGCCATCATAAACCACAAATACTGGTAGATGATCACTAATATCATTTATAAGTAATCCACTTGTCATTTTGCTGTCAATAACATTGGTAAGTATATTATCTATTAGTGTTGCATGCTGGGTTGTTACTCTACTTGGTTTTGTAATTTTTGGGTATAAAATGCATGTATATATTGTGTTAATAAACTCCACAGTTCCTTTGTGCTTGTTAGAATTTAACAAATCTAACAAGCACAAATTAACTAATGTTAATGAAAACTAGGAGTGAATGTACATTTGGCATGTATGTGTGTTTGTCGGGCCGTGGTCAGGAGCAGCCACTGCAGAGAGGATGCACTAACATTGAGCCAAGAAGCGAGTCTGACTCTTACAAACTGACACCTGGCAAAGCTTGTGAAGCTTTGCCAGGAGGGACAGACAGGAACTGCAGTAGAACCAGAGCTACTGTGAAAACAGCAGAGTCAGGAGAAACAGGGTAGAGTGAAAAAATAGAAACAGCAGAGAGAGAGAGAGGATCTGGTGTTGCACTACCATTAAACAAATATGAGGGCTAGAAACCATATAAAGACAAAACATGCTGCAGTGAACCCAATACACAGTAACACACAGTATCATACAGTAACATACACAGACGATGCAGGTTTGTTCACTGCTATAGATTAATTAGTGTTGCAGAGGATGATGATCTCTTCTTCCTTCATTAGATCATCCTGTTTCAGTTGGGGCTCAGTCCATGTACGTGGGGGGCGTGGCCACGCTAACCATCCAGAAGGCCTTACAACATGACGAAGGCATGTGTGTGTGTGGCTGAAAACAGCCAGGGCAGAGTGGAAAGCAGTGCCAGGGTCCAGATCAGAGGTCATCTATTTGTTTTTAATTATTATTATTAAATGTGGTATCATCAACAAATATCCACGCTGTACTACTGCTTTCAGACCTTTTCTCTAAGGGCCTATAGATAGGCAGACTTGGTGACCACCAGGGGGCAGCTGGTCCAGGATTTTGTCTGCCGGCTATACAGTCCTGGCCAGAAATATTGGCACCCTCTGTCAGATAAGGCACTACTCCTCCTAGAAGATTATTTGGTATTGTCATGTTTATTTCTTTTGTTTGCATTGGAACAACACAAAAAAGCAGAAAAAGCCAAATCTGATACACTCCACACAGAACTCCAAAACTGGACTGGACAGAATTATTGACCCCCCTCAACTTAATATTTGGTAACATCCCCTCTGGACAGAATAGTTGAAACCATGACTGTACCAGTAATAGTAAAACTTGGTCACACAAAATGAATCTTTATTTTAATTAGTGAGATAATGATGTATGTTTTGAACAACAGCTCCCATAATGCTTTGGGGTATGTAAACAGGAGGGATAATGTTGCCATGGAGGCAGTCAGACAGTGAGCTACAGCCTCAGGTAAAGCCATCAAATGAAATGTTAGCTACAAGTAGGTACAGCTGTTCCTGTTAAAGCCAGTTTTTTTTTGTCCTGTATTAGCTCACATGTAGTGAGTGTAGTCACCTGTTAACTGCAGCAGGATGAGCAGCAAGCAGCTCCTGTGTGCAGTGTCCCAATGGACGAACACACAACTGTCACTGCGTCACTGTGACACTGAAGGAAACTCAGAAACAGGAGGACTCTCAGGCAGGTTCTGCAGCCTCTGCTGCTCTGGTTTCTACGTGGGTTTATGGAGGTTTGTTATGGAGGGACATAGGAGATGATGAGATCCTTAGGAAGTCACATTGAGTCAGATCGACGTGTGCTTCATATATGTGAGTTCACATCTCAGTCAGAACTCTGAGAAGGAGGAGGGCTGGTTCTGATGCAAACTGTATCAGTTGGCCTGAATGTTTTAATTGGTCTTAATCCCCATCTGTTTCACAGCTGCTGAAAGTCTGAAGAAATGTTTGCCTAGTAATACATGTTTTTGTTCACTTGTTTTCAGCAGAAACAGTAGTGAACATCGCCATCGTTTATGACGATGTGCTGAGCTTATGTCCACAGCCAGCAGTCACAGATCAACATGCTCCTTCGTGCGCAGTGTGTCCGTGTCCCCCTGATGAGCCTCAGCCCAGTGCTCCCTCTCTGTTCACTGTGGGCTTGGTTTCAACCACCTCCTGAGGGAAACCTCTGGCTCTGGACCTGCTAAATGCTCCACTGCGTTCCCCAGCCAGTCTCTGACTGGTTTTGTCTGCTGGCTGCCGCTGTGGGTTTATCAGAGCAGACAGTGAAGGCAGTATCAGTTGGCCATTCATCCACCAGCAGGAAACCATCATCACAGCTTTATAAGGAAAATCTGCGAAATCCCCAAGTGAACATATTATGAGATTCCCAGAGAGTGACCCAGTCGACCTTCAGACAGTCCAGTGTCCATGTGAGGACAAGGTCTCTGCTCTTCGTTAACCAGAGAAGGGTCTGTCTTTGTTTACATCACTGTCATTCATGTCTTAAGTTTAAAGTGGCTGTAATTCATATTTTTATGCTAGAAATGAATCACATGAAGAGCTGTGTGTGACAAATGTCGGTTCTAAGAATAAACAGTGTGGTAAATGCTAACTTTAACCAGTGTGTACGAGTCTGGACTGTGGAGCTGAGAGAAGAGAAAGCCTGCATGTCAACACACCTGAACTCATACGCTGCCCAGCCACTTTATTAGGTACACCTGTACCACTGTATGCACTTCCATGCAACACTTCCACCTTAACATCTGTGTTTACGAAGCTCAACATGTTTCTTTTGGTGAAATTGTTATAAATGTGTGAATTTTATTCTGTGTTTATTACTGAGGCCACAGTTAACAGTGTTGTACTGGACTACATTATATTCAGAGGTGTCTATATTTTTGTCCTCTCCAGCTACATACACAAGAGGGTCAGAATATTAGTAATAAACAGAATAGAATTTATACATTTATGATAGTTTGACCAAAAACAGAAACATGTTGAGCTTCATTAAGGTTGAAGTATTGCAGTGAAGTGCATACAGTTGTACCTAATAAAGTGGCCGGTGAGTGTAGCTACGTGTTGTGTTTAGGCAGAGCTATGGTTCAGAGGGAGACCTGTAGCAAAGACACTGTGTGAGGTGAAGCAGACTGGTGCATGCAGGTGTTCACTGCTGATAAACCTCCATGAATCCATTGGGAAACCAGAGGAGAAGTACCTGCAGAACCTGTCTGAGAATCCCCTTGTGTTTGTTTCCAGTGACAGTTGTGTACAGCCAGTGGAAAACTGCACACAGGAGCTGCTCAGTCCTCATTTTGCTGCTGTTAGTAGGGATGCTGTGACAAAACCACTGGAGAAGACACAGGCACTAGGGCCCCTCTCAACACAGGGCTGAACACAGTTACAGTCTTGTAGCTATGTAGTGATATTGCTTGCAGCCAATGTTGCATAAATTTTGTATAATATGATGTCATGGGGTAGGACTGGATAAGTTTGACTTCTTCCTACTCCATTCAAACATGTAATAGGTGTAAGCAAACTGATTTTGAATTAGCATTGGTTGGATGTGTGTAATCATGTGTGTTATTGTCATTTGTTCATTGTTCTGTTCTGTTCTGCATGTTTGAAAGAATAAATCAATCAATCAATCAATCAAAGTCACTGACATTATATGATATTTCCTGTAAGTAAAAACATTTAATATAAAATGCTCCAAAAGA